TGTTAGACAGACAGAATTTTCTCCTTAATATTTTTCATTGCTAGGAAAAGTTAAAACTTTGATACACAATGGCTAAAGAAGGGATTCACATCAAGCCAATGTTCAAAAGCTTTAACTTTTTGTACAGCAGAGAGGTTCACCTTTGGGGTTGTCATAAATCAGAAATTACTTGAAGGAACAGCACCACCACCACAACGGCAAAGCAGGGATGGGTAATATGGGAGTTGCATGTGATCTCCTCCCTACCATTTTTATGCCCCCCAGGGCAAAACCTCAAAATCTACTTTCAACAAGAAGGAATATAATAGGGATGCAGTTCTTCAGTAAATTTCTTCTTGAAGGAAGCAATAAGTAATTTTAACAATAATCTTCTCACTATCAGAAAGTGTTCAAAAACCATGCAGCTTTCAAAGCCAATTTGCAATTCTGTGCAAAATTCATATGTGGCTGTTTTTCACAGAAAATAGAATTTTATGTAATGAAAATAATATTTATGATGTAGAAGTGATACATATATGAAGAGTGATACATAAATGCAATACATAGAAAGATAAATAAATAGATGTATAGACAAACAGACAAAAATCTACTTCTGATTTTGCCAAAGAATAACCCAGGAGTGCCTAAAAACCAATGTAAAAGGTAAGTTGTCACTGATGAATACTTCAAGAGAGGCAATTCATCATTTGGTATCAGAAAAAGGGTATTCTAAAGCAGCACTTCTCAGGCTATCTGATGTGGGGGAGTAGTAATTTTCCCCATTATGACTGGCACTGTATTTGTGCCTATTTGCTACAACTGTTTTTTCTTCCCTCTCTGCAAACTGGTAACCAATGGCTCATGGATTGGCACTGGTTTAGAGACCACCACTTTCAGAAGCACTAGTTTGAGAAGCCTGAAGGGTGCTGCAGACTGCCAAAAAAATAAAACAGCATTCAGGGCCACATGCTACCATAGATCCACATTTGTTGATCCCTCTTCTATTGGTTAGGGTGGGAAAAGGCGACATCCCAGACATTGTCTTTCAGTTGAATTGAATTTATTAACAGTCTGAATAAAGAGCGTAGGAGAGGATGAGCAGATGTAGTATGATTAACCTGTCTTAAATGCTAAAGAGATTTCACATCACAATGAGGGGTGGTTAAAGAAAGCAATCACAGCTGATCCTCTATTTTTTTTAAAGAAATCTAGCAATTATATGGCATGCTTTTTCACATCCCACACTTCAATATGCCTTACTCTATAAGTGAATTGTCATCCAGGTTAGAGTGATTCTGGCTGCTGTTGGGGTTTTGTTGTTGTTTATTTAGCCCACATTTAATATAATGTTTAAATTCAAAGGAAAACAAATCAGAAGGGTACATGAATTCCTTAATCCAACTCCCTCTCCCCCATTTTTGTTGACTAAAGAGAGAAGATATTGGGCAGAGGGCTTGGGAAGAAACAGTTGCATATATCAAAGAGAAGGAATTGGCAAAACAGCAGATATCAGAAGATAGTACTAATAGTAGTAATAATATTTATTTATTTATTTATTTATTTATTTATCTATCTATTTCTCACCTCTCCTCAAGGCTCAAGGTGGAATATAACATGTTAAAATACAAAACATAATTAAAAACACACAAGCGCACAGTTAAAATACATTACTATAAAATCATTAAGTACACTCATAAGAGTTCATATACAGATTAAAAAAGCATCAAACCATTAATCCAATGGGAAAAAATGAAATGCATATTGATTTAATTTTACATATTTTTAAAAAGCACATCTAACTGCATGTCTCTCTACCCCCAAAAATTATGGCTGAAGGCCTGTCTCCAATATTTCCTTTTTGGACAAGGTTCTGGAGCATGTTGTACCCTCTCAACTCCAGGGGTTCCTTGGTGAAACAGGTTATCTAGAGCCATTTCAATGTAGTTTGAAGCCTGGCGATGCTATGGAAATAGCTTTGGTCACCTTGATGGATTTCCTGCACTGGACAGCAACCAGATAGGGAAGGTGCAATTAGTGAAGTACCCTGATATGAGCATTTGAACAAGTGCAAATCATCTGTCTGGATTCCAAGCTGTGTGGTCATCATTATATTTATATATTTATTTATAATGCTTAGATTCATGTTTTGTCTCCACTGAGAGCTGGTGGCTTTCAGGGCAGTGAGGCAGTGAATCCACTCTGGTTTTAGTCCAAATTTTAAGATGTTGAATTCTATTCACCAAAGAGGTTCAGGACCTGGAATAACTTGTTTAAAGTTTGGGCTGAAATCTGGGGCTGATTGCCACCCCATGGATACAGAAGTCACAAGCCTGTATTGGTTACCTGCAGTGAGCACAATGTGCTGTGCATGAAGGTTATCAAATCATATCATCTTAACAGCTCTGTGAGATGTTAGTATCAACATCATTGCCTTATTCAGGAACATGATGTCCAGATCAGATCCCAGATCTCCATGGTCCAACTCCAAAAGTTTATCTACTGTATTATATTGGCTATCACATGCATCCCTTCATGATATGAACATAAACCTACATTTTTATGATGCAAATGCTTCAGAGCAGTGTGTTATGACACAGTCTTGACGGTTTGGGAGTTTCTACAACTTTATGGTGGGCCATTGGTGTTTTCAAATTGTTCCCAACCTAATAGATAGTTGCCCAAACAACTGTATAAATGGACTCATTTAAGGATCAGTTAAAAGGGTAGGCAGTTTTCACAGACTTTATTTAGCTGTCAAAACTTGAGGGTTTTTTTTTTTTTTTGCAGGGTGGGGTGGGGGGAAGACCTACTAAAGGAGGCAATGCCTTTATTTGAAATGAACTTTATATACCTTCAGTCAGATCAATGGTGGCATCAGGACCATGATGTGCTTGTTTCCTATCAGATTTATGGGAATAGGGCTATCACTATGATTTCCTTAAGGCAACGAAGACTTGCACTTGAAAGAGTGTTAATAACCCAGGACTTTCAGGTGATCTTTGTTAAGTCTTCTGAATGGGCAGAAGAGACTGCCCTTCTAGATAAGGATGGTGTAATCTAGGGGACAGTGAAAGGAAAGAAAGAGAACAGACCTCGGAGTTTTAATGGGATAAACAGAAAGCAGAGTTACCTTTTTGGAGTCTGAAAGCCAACAGCATTTGGGGTTTCTATCTGAAATTCTGATATTGTGGTTGTGGTTGGAGCTCAGGATAGTTACTTTCTTGGACACAGAGTTTCCAGTCCCTTTTTGGGTCACAATACCTCTTATTGGCTGGAGAATTCTGGAAGATGTAGTTCAAAAAACGTTTCCAAGTGCTTCTGTTGCAGGATGACCTCACATCCTCCTTATCCAGAGGAATTTCAAAATGTCCTCCATTTTGAGCATGACTAAGAAGCATCAGTTTACATTATGTTCGTGTTTTTAGCTTTTATTTCATAATACCTGTATTTTTCTTCACTGGCCTACATTCTGTATAGTGCCTTGTCCCCCTTTGAGGTTATGACATC